AATATTTATATATATATATATGTATATATATATATGATGATGATGATGATATATATTTATGATATATATAAATAATATATATATATATATTTATCACATATATATACATATATATATATATACACATAATCTAATATAATGGTATCACATACACATATATATATATATAGATAATGTCTAGCCGGGATGAATCAACCCCGAGGCTGTTTAATCCGGGTTTGACATTAATACAAAACCAACATAGATGCTGACTGCTCTGCTGCTGGTTGTCCGAGATCAACCCCCAAAACCAAGGGATTGATGGAGACTTTTGATGTTGCAAACAGGAGTTGCTAAGAAAATGATGGAATGATGCCCTCTGGTAACAATACCATGGAAAATTGGCAATGTTTAGTAAGTCAAAAACATCGAAGTACATGGGCAATTTGATCAAATTTCCACAGCTATGTGAAATCACCAGAGGGTATCAACATTTCTTTCCAGAGCACACCCTCAAGGCTGGCAGCAACATGAGCCTCCGAGCGACCTTCGCCTGGGTATGGGCAACTGGATAGTTTATGATCACTTTTTATATTTCCGAATCAACCATCCATTAAAAAGTGGGGTTGATCATTTTTGGGTATACCCGAATGGCTTGTGAGGGTTGATGGTCCCCGTCAGAGCGGGTTAAGGTGGTGTTTCCAAGACACAGACTAAACCAATACCTTGAAAACTCACGGCTGGCCAAGTTATAGTATGTATTAAGCGGATTGATAGCTGAAAAGATCGCTAGATGGATGGATGGACGGATGGGTGAATAGACAGATATATAGACTAGATTTGATTTACTGTAGACCGCTATCCAATCAATTTGGGACTAATTAAACACAAAAAATGCAATAAATCCAGTGGTCAGGATGGAGCAGTCCAGAGCCAGGGCTATCTATATCCCCTAGGAAATCGAGAGCCAAGGAGCTACCCTGAGTTCCCCAACCACATGATAGATTGGATACCCTCTGGTAAACTAACATAGCTATTGAAAATTGCCATTTATAGTGGATTTTCCCATTAATAATGGTGATTTTCCATAGTTATGTTAGTTTACCAGAGGGTAGATGATGGATGCTACAGGTTAAAACACAACAAGGACCGCTGGTCAGTTGCGATGCCTGGAACAAGAATTCAGAGGTTTTTCAGCCCCCCGAAGATACTGGAGGACCATAGTGGATCTACGGATCTTCATTTTTTGGGACCTAGGATGACCTAGGGATATTATGAGATCGTAACTGGCTGTTGTAGTGTTACACTGCCTGACTCACTGGCCACTGGATCATCCAAGAAGTCGCCCGGCTCCATCTTTATCGACGGGAATGGGACGGAGAATTTTCAGTGGACACGATGGCATATCTAATGCTGTACACCAGGGTTGTCGTATAAGTTTCCCTGCCCTCGTGTTACTTCAGAGAATCTCAGGAAGTTTGTCTCCTTCCCAGACTTCTATGTGAAGCTGCTTGGGCGAAACGGCTGCTGGTTGGACAGAAGCAGAAGCAGCTAAGAATGGTAACCAGTATCGGCCCACCATGGCCCACCTAAATTATAATGGAACCTCAAAATGTCTAGAACAATGATCTTCAAAACCCTATCTTTGGGGATCCTGTCAAATTTAGGTGGTGTATCAACCTTCAAAAGTAGGCATATGGCCCCTGCATGTCCCTACTGTCCATGATTCGTTGATGTTTGTTGTTGGCTTAAACTCGAAGGGTTATACGACTGAGAAATGCCCAAGCATGCCCAACATCCCTGTCCTTGGCTGGTATGAAGCGGTCTGATGGGTATAGATGGGTCGAACATGAGAATCCTACCCTCAACCAATAAGGGGGATCTTGAGCCCAATGGGTCGATACTGGGGGTCCCCCCAAAATAAACAAGCATCAGGAGATATCGCTTGTACATCTCTTTTTTCCCCCATCGGGAAGCCCATCACTGAGTGATATTGGCCATTGGTATTTGGTGGGATGCTTCATCTGGCCAGGCTGGATGAGAACTGAAGACCCTGAAGGTGGTAATGTGAGTAAAGCGATAGGATCCAGCATCCCCAATTTTACAATTTTTATGGGTGGTATTCCAAACATCAAAACTTATGTGTGGTTTCATTATTGCTCTACGAACCATATTCTGACCCTGTGGGAATCAAACACGGCAACGGAGAATCCAAGATTTTCCTTGGACAATCATCTAGAATCTAGAAAATGACACGTTCCATTTCCCAGCTCAGATTGCCGGGGGCGAGACCGGAAACGGCTGAGTTTCAGTGGGACCCATGATTCGCCCGGAATCATGGGACTAGGAGCCTTTTTGGATTCCGATGGATTCAGGGAATTAAAGGCCGCAAGTTTCAGGTTAGTGAAAGAATTTACCCAGAACATTATTGTAGACTTCTTTGACGCTTGAAATCCCTGATTTTTCGTCGGCTGGCAAGTGTCTCTTCCAGAGGCTTCAAAAAGTTTCTTCCAGGCTGTGATATGCTGTGACGGTGGTAGAACTTATACAAGAACTCTTGGATGATGAAAAAGCCACTGGTCAACCTCTCATGTATGGATATACAACAAATGTATACACATGTGGTGTATATATATATATATATATACGTAAATATATCATAAGATACCTCCATTTTAGTGAGTGATACACAATACCCATTCATACATTTATAGGTACAGATAGATAGTGACGAATCTTGGTGACTCAGTATTTGGATGTGCAGGATGGAGGCATCGTAAGTGGTGAGTAAGCCATGTATACAATAGATTATATATATATATATCACCCATTCATAGCCGGAGATATTCTACATGTGTTCATGGGGGAAGCATGTACGGGCTATATATGGATTTTAAGTATAGAATATATAAGTGTATACGTATAGTTATCTAACATAGCCAGATATAGCCAGTCATGTATGGCCTATAACTGGGGATGATATTCCATATGAATCACTGGCCAAAAGATGACGCCCTCGGTGCTTAGGCTCTTTGGAGGCCGAATCAACATCAGCGCAGAACAGCTGCACCTGGGAGCCAGGACACAGGGGGGGACAGGGTGGGATAGCTTGGGGAGGGCTCGTTTTTTTTTTTTTTTGTATTTTTCCGTTTTTTCCCAAGTTTTCAGGGCATGAACTCAACCTTCCTAGCACGAAGACTACGAACTTGGCATTTTATGTCTTCGAATAAAAATCGATGCATCTGGGTCCCAAATCAAGCAAAGACCAGGGATGTTTAGCAGGGCACCAGGCCTTCGTCCGGATATCTGGGGCCATATTTATGCTGATGGCTGTTGGATGGAACCCATATTCATGTGAAGTGTTTCATCCAAAGCTCCAACTGTTACATTTTCATTGATTTAGGAATCCTCTTGATTGAAGTGTTTTACCAGTACCTTACATCTCGGTATTAGCTCTACAAATTGAACACAAGCTTTTCAAGCCGAGGATGCACGGTTTTAGCGTCAACATTCTCAAAGACTCTTAGTTAGGATCTCTGGGGTTCTGGATAGTTTTCCGTTGACCAACCGTTCTGACGTGGGCCAAGTCTGAAGAGTTGTCGCGACTAGAAAAAGCCCATTGGATGCTTTCCGAGAAAACCCAGCGCCCAAGTTGAGTAGAGATACACCTTGCAAATTAACACGATCCTCCAAAAATCGGGTTTAACAGATGATTTTCCATGATTTTCCTAGTGGTAATGTGGTTGGGAAAAAAGGTGAGGTTCCACATGTGTCAGCTGTTCCCTCCTGGGCAGTATGGGTGGAACGCCCGATCTCGTTGCCATGGCTCAGTATGAGGCTTCTGGGAATGGGTTTTTTCGCCCATTCTGCTCAGTAAAGACTTGCTTGAGGTTACTAGCTTAGTTTTTGTTTTTTCGATATAAGTGAGCAGGGATATAATTACTAAGGAGTTGTTTTTTGGGGGATGTTTGCTGAATAAAATTTGTGCAGTGAATCCAAGATTGGACATGTTCAAAACGGACTCTGTATACTGTAGACCTAGTACCTTGGAGGAATCCTATTCCAGGTAGACGCCTATGAGCCGGTGCGGCCTGACTTGGGTACCAAGGGGATAGGCACCCGCATCCCGGATATCCCCGATTGTTGTTGATGGTTGCTGAATCTTCCCCCATCCCACATTCTTGCCACTTGTTCCCCCCTTTTATATCCATTTTCATCATTTATCATCATCTAACTTCATTTCATTAGAGCATTTGTTCGGGAATGTGATCACAACCTCAATTGCAACGTCACTGGAATGATGGTTCGGATTGGGATAACTATCCCAGAATAGCCGAGCATCTCATGTCAGCCTCTTGAATTACGTAATACAAATTGTCCAGATAAATAGTTTCAGCAACAGTCCTAGTACGGCAGTATATCCCAGTAATCAATCATAGATCCATTTGGTCCAAAACATATTGATCCTCTTTTGCTCAAACATGGCTTACTGGAAAATCATCCATTTAATTCGATTAATTTCGCACTCAAACCTCCATGTCATGTAGTTGGGGGTATGCCAGCCAGGTTTGATACCGGAGATACCCATTAGAAATGACCACTGTATCCTGACGAAACCATCATATTCTTTATTTTTCATGGTGAAATCAGTTGAACCTTGTTGAATCCCATTCTCTTTCACCATGTTTACTGATGAAAATGATGACATCATGGACTTGGCTCATTATTGGAAGAAGTTGACTTGTGGGGTTATCCGGTCCTTTAATTTTGGGCTTCAAACCACTCAAACCACCATGGCTCCATGGTGTGATGGGCCAGGCGACCTTGGGCTGGTTGGGCGGCACCTGGACTCTGGGCTCCCTGGTGGCAGCTGCCGAGACGTTGAGCTTCGCCATGGATCACCGGGTGGAAGTACTAGGCACCAGCTGCACCTTGGACGGCAAGGATGGGAAAATGTTGTTTTTGAAGCTTAAAGTGAAGAACAAAAGGATGAAAACGATGATGGAACACGGTGGAGGTAAAAACCTGCAGAATTTCGAGGATTAAGAAAACAAATGATTAAAAAATTGCTTGAACCATCAAACCTGGGGGTTTAACATGGTTTAAGCAATGAAATATGGTGTGGGATGGGAAGGGAAGGGGATTTTCGAGGGAGATGGGTAGTTTACAAGCTACAACATTTTGCGGGTATTTCTACGTTCCTAAATCATTAAGCCGACTGGCAAGTTGGGCAGTTGATTGTGCAACTTCACCTACATTGCAATTTTGATGGGGGACGGGGTATGGTAATTTAATGGGATGGGGTGGCTTTGGGAGAGGTCTCAGCTTTGGGTGATGAAGAAAGGGTTGTTGGTGATACAGTGATACGCGATAACTGATAGCTAGTGATAAGAGGATTTTTTGTGGTTGAAGATGAATTGAAGGAGTTGTGAATCAATGTTGGCTGCGGTGATGAGTTGCCGCATTTCATGGACTGTGGATGTGGCCAGGACATGTCCAACTTGCAGGATCCTCTTCCAGTGGTTTTCTGTGGCAAACCTCATCATGAACATCCCACCGATGTTGTAGGAACATGATGTTGTACCATATCACATCATATCAAATATCGATAAATATCGTATATAGACGTGGAACGCCAATTTGGGAGTTGATTGGATTTCAGAGGGTTCACTGGTTTACCAGGCCTTCTTCAATCAAGAAAATTCAGCGCGATGGAGCGACAGGTGGATGCATCGACCAACCAATGACTCAACCAATCAACAACTAAAACCTAAAACAATTAAATCAACCAACTTAAATCCATAGTTCAAGAAGTCGGGGATTATATTCCAATACGATCTTTTGCAATCTATACCTACGCCCCGAGCCACCCGTGCACGTCCAATGTTGGACCTCCCTGAGGTGACAATCAGGAGTTGATGCTTGGCTTCAAAGCTTCCAGACACTGTCATTGGAGGGGATCAAAGAGCACGACCTTCTTGAACCCATGATATAATGACATTAAGTATGATATTTGATATATTTTGATATCATATGAATGAGAGAGAGATATGATATTGTACATGATCATTAATATGGCTACAGGTGCTTCCCCGACCACATGGAACGGCTGCCTCATCCATATCCCTACATATTTTGGAAGCGATGTGCCGAGGCCTCGTCGCCATGACTACTGTCAAGAGCTGCTTCACTCCTGGCCATGGTCGGAGAAGACTTTGGGCGACGCGCTGTCGTGGGTTCCCGGGGTGAAGCCCCTCGACATGGCCAGGGCCGAATTTAAAAATATAAGAGACGTTTTAGAAAACACTCACGAAGGTCTGGTAGTTTGGGGTTGGTGGGTTCAAAATCCTCATCATATATTAGTATATTATCCTTTCCCCCGAAAATTTAAACACCCCCTAAACGAAACCATTGTTTTTTGTTGGGAATTTCCACATTCCATTGGGACCATGCAATTTGGGGTGTTTAATATTAGGGTGATGTGATTATATGTGATTATAAGTGTTGATTTTTGAGACATGGGATGATCCCGACATGATGATCAGCGGGGTTTTTTAAACATGTGAGTTAACCACAGGTATAAATGTATTTGCATGAGAATCACTGGGCATAGCCAGAAACTCTCCCATTGATTGCTGATAGAATCTACCAAAAAAAGGACTTTCCCAGAAGTCAGAAGCTGTTTGATTCCTGGAGGCTGAATGGGAGGGGAGTGCCACTCCTGGGCCACTGGGCACCTCGCAACAGGTTTACCAGCGTCATCTTTGCGTCGAGACAGATGCACATGAAGCCCAGGCGGGATGTGGGGTCCAGTGGGTCGAATTTGGGTCCGAACATGGTCCCATAGATGAATAGTTGCGAAAAAAGCATTCAGCTATCGTGGAAAATTGTATGGGGAGATGACAGGGAGATGGATATATTAAGTTAGTTGCTCAACTTTATGTTAGTGTTTTCCCATTTGGGTTCACTTGAGTTTACTTGGGTTCACTTGGGCACCTATGGTTGAAACTGATTGAAAGGATACCAATCATGTGCAATTGGATGATCGAATCTAAATCACGGTGATTTGATGTGATTTATGACAATGTCTGAATCAGTTCGTTTAGACTCCACAAATGATGTCATGATCATCATGGGGCCGGGTCCGAGGGTCTCCACTTTCAGCACTGAGGACGAGATTCTTGAGCGCTTCAGCCCTCTTTTGCGCAGGACTGGTCTGGGGAGGCAGCGGAGCAACTTTTTGGGCATGGCAGGAAGCCAAAAAAAGCATCCAAAAACCCTTCCGGAGAGTTGCTGAGTTCTCTTTTTTTTATTTTTTATTCTCCCTAATTGGTAGACAAACCATGGAATCCTCAGGGAAGCAGGGAATATGCACCATCCAGGTGCCATGGTGCCACGACTGCCACAATTTGAAGCGAAGAACATACCACCATTCGGAAGTCTGGAAACAATCAAGCTGAAACGGCTTGATCCAAAGTTTGCTATTCATGTTTCTGTTTCTGTCATACTACCCTTTTTCCAGAATACATACATGATCATGCATGCACATGCACGCATGGTCTTGTGAACGTGTCTATTTCTCTATGTGGATATAGTATAAACTTATGTAATTATTTGCGGAGATAAGCAAAGAAGTAGCACACACACATACACACATATATACATACACAATCATATCATGTGTATAGGATATATTATCATATAAAAATATCATACGAAAAATCATATAATTTATGTATATATATATCATATATATATATACATATGATATATATATCATATATATATATATGTATCATAGCTATATATATATATCTATATCACATATATATATTAATATATATATATATATCATATATATATATTAATATATATATATATATATCATATATATATATGATATATATATATCATATATATATATATATCATATATATATCATATATATATATATATATATATCATATATATATATATATCATATATATATATATCATATATATATGATATATATATATCATATATATATATCATATATATATATATCATATATATATATATCATATATATATATATCATATATATATATCATATATATATATCATATATATATATATCATATATATATATATATCATATATTTATATCATATATATATATATATTAGGCCAACCCCCAGCTACTGTACTTTCTGGCTTCTATCCCGGCCCAGGAGAGGAATTGAACCTGGAGAATGCGTCCTCGATCTTGAGCCAGGGGAAGGGATGCCCTGCAGGACAAGGCCGGGGGCGAAACCGGTGGTGAAACTCTTGGGTGAAATCCTTGGGTGATTTGCACTGTGTTTTGGCAGTTGGGGAGTTTTACTGAACAACTCATTTTGGGGTACAGTACACCTAATGTTGGGGGTTATAGTTGGGGAGTTGAGGATATAGTTTTTCAAATCATGCTTTCGACATGCAGTGTTGCTGGTTGTAATGGGTTTGTCTCGGCCAGCGCCACTGTTGGAGACGCCACAAGAAAACATGATGTTGCTGTTTTCATTACTCTAAATCGGCGCTTCGCTGAATAACTCACACACACATACCTGATGCTCCGCTATACTGACTTCCCATGGATGCTGGAAGGGTTGAGGTTGTTCAGATTTATTAGAAGTCTTTCCTAGGGGTCGCAGCACATGGTTGCTTACCTAAGCTTATATTACATACATATGTTAGTATTATTGACATTTGATTTGCTTACATATTTGGTATAGATTACAAACTCCATTTCAAGAAGAACTAAGACCAAATTCTTGCTGAAAACTCGAATTCCTTTGGGATCGCAACGAGAAGAGTGTCAGGGAAGGTGAGAGGACCATCCAAACCATCCAGCTGTACCGGCGACCTTTCAAGATCAACTCCACTTAGGAACTGCTCAAAAAATCATAGTTGTTAACTCGCTTGTCTATATAAATGATATAACTACATACATAGATAAATATATTGGTTAGATTAACGCTCAGATTAGGTCAAATCACATCAGATCAGATAGAGAGATAGAGAGTTAGATGCTTAGATTAAATTAGATTAATAGATTATGAATTTAAAAAAACAGTATGCAGTATACATCCTATCTACCTCTCTCAGCCTCTCTCTCTCTCTCTGTATTTATATAGATGGATGAATTGGAATGGCCTCACTGCGACGTCACTGGAAGGATGGTTAGTCGGGCATCATCCTCAAATGGCTGCAAGCTTCAACTATGTTCAGGTTAGTGAATTATGATAATTCAGCCATATATTATATTATATATATATATCTGTATATATATACACATATATATATACACGGATATTCATAGGTCTAAACATGGGAAGTTTTTATTGGGAAATCACCCCTTTAATTGGAATATATGGGAAACTTAACTATACACTATCCAGTGCATATTCAGCCAGATTCACAGTAAATGCCATTAAAACCACATTATATTCCAGTTTAATGCCAGCTCCCATGATAATTTAGCCAGATAATATATTGTATGGGTGTGTCAAAAAATGACGGATCCCCGCCAAAATAGCACAATTTTAATGGTAAAACACACATTGTTGGGTACACGATTTTCAGACAAACCCACACACCCCCACACACATATATATATATATACATACAGCTAAGTTGGTTTATCACTCCAATAACAATGGTTTAGGGCCGAGATATATCTATAGTTAATGGCGTTTATAAACCAACTTGTAACTGAGGGGCAGCACCTATATATACATATTGTCTGTATACATATATATATATATATATATATTTATATACATACACACACACATATATATATACCACATATATATATATATATATGTATATATATATATGTATGTATGTAAATAGATGGCTAACCCCAGGTGATGGCGCTGGGGAAGTCCGCACCCACTTCGCCGTGTGTGGCGGCGGTGGTGCCTCCAATATGGGGGCCGGGGGCGATGGCGCTTTGAGGGTGGAGGGTGCCTTGGGTGCTGGGAAGGGCAAAGTGACCACTGACTGACCCTGACAGAATTTTGTAGCAGTTTTTTGCCTCCCCCAAAAATCCCCGTTTTCCTGGTGAGGTGAAAAAGCTTTGTGGCACTGTACGGCGAAAGGTTTCGTCACGGAATAGGATGGCACCTCGCTGCCGCTGACGGGTGCTTCCGGGGGAGGATGCTCCAGCGGCCTCAGGTGGCACGGCAGAGTTGGTGAAAAATGGGTCGGTTCATGGGCTTTCAACCATGAAAAATGTGGATTTAACATGATTTAGCCATCAAACATGTGGAATTAACCGTGAAGAACGGTGATCTAAGCATGAAAAATGATGATAGGCTTAGGGATTCGGCCCAGCTTGTAGCTCCGTTTTTTTGTGCACATCCTGGACGTTGCCCATTGTGCAACCTTGTCTGTACTCATATTTGTCATCCGTTTGAAACCGTCAGCCAGACAGGGTACTATGAAGTCTCCGTTTTTGCCGATGGAACCCGGACCTGCTGGTTGTCATGGTTCTATGGATGCTGATGGTTCGAATAGCCAGTCCACAACTGGAGATAATCAGGATCATCCCACAAAATGGGTTTATTTCATTCATTTCTGAATCCAATGGATATCTTTACTGTATTTAACTGTAAGTAATTTTAGATAATCATATTCATAGTCAATTTTTTGGTGTATAACCAAATGCCGGGCAATTCACTGCCATACTCTGGTGATTTTTCAACATGTTCCAATTGGGTTTTGAAAAATGATGGTTTTGAGTCCTTGATCTAAGCAGTAACTTTTCGACATTTCCACACGCAAAAAACCAGGCCGCAGCTACGCAGCTCGTCCCTGGCGTTCTCCGCCGGCGGCGGCCTGTTGTGGCTCAGTACTCCAAAGCTCTACCTGAACGCCTCAAGCCGTGTGAAGGCGGACGGCCTCCAGGGAACCATTGTCGGCAAGTTGCTTGGATCCCATGGGGCGATGGGGCGATGTCCAAAATCCATGGGGTATTCACCGTGATTCACCCTGAAAATGTCGGAAAATTGATGGTAAATTAATTGATACATGGGATTTGCGAGTCCTGTTTTTTTCCCCAAACGAATATGAATTTACATGAGCCTAACATCAAAAATCGGAGGTGAAGCATGAACATAGGGAAAAACTGGGATTGCACCAGGAAAATATGGTTAAAAACCAAAGAAAGCAGCTTATTCCCCTTTGCCAAGATATACATTTGGGGTGAAAACCATCATCATAGCTGGGATTGAGTTGGATTGTACCCTGGACAATCAGAACTGTGGGGCATCCATCCTTGTGGGTGTCGGTCATGGTAGGTGGATGGGGCCGCGTGAGTTACACGTGGAAGAATCCTTGCATGGGCTGGGCTATTGATCACTTGTGGTACTTTATTAGATTTTGAAAGCTTGAGAACACCATTGTGAGCACACAAATGCAGAAACTGTGCAGAACTGTAGGCGGCTTAGGACAGGTTTTTTGTCTGCCAACCGCGCTGAT